CTAACGTTGCCATACATCATTTTCACGTCGCCACAAGGTTAAAGTTATTTGATGTTAACGTACTTCACGTTGTTTTAACGTTCTCTTTAACGTTAATAGTTGAATAGTTTCCCCAGTAGTGAACAGTACGAAAGAAACAAAGCAGAAATTCACTTCAATGTGTAATCGTCACTTTGCATGTTGTTTTGGTCGTGTGTTTTCTGATGCTGTAGCTGAATAGTGAATATAGACCATTCTTAGCCAATATTCATGACCTCGAGGTCAAATTGAAAGCGAGGCTTAAATAGGTTGACCCAACCTTGAAAATGGCAACCTCGAAAAGGAAAGATTACTGCTGTGTGCCTTTGCGTTGGAGTGATCCCCGTAAGGATTTTATGGTATCTTTTCACCATATTTCCAAGAATAAGATCAGAAGAAGGCAGTGGTTGACGAAAATACGGAGAGATCCTCGAAAATGATTCATAGTAAGTACAAAATAATTACGGCACATGGCATAGTCTAGATCTGCCGTGTAATGTACAAACTGTTCACTATGCAAGGTTTTAATATCAGGGGCACATGTACAATGTGAATGTCACACACACACAGACACATTCAAACCCCACCCCCAACCCCACACATTGTCATGTTCAAAATCAGTGATCACCCCTAGTTCATATGTACACAATTGACCCCTCCCCCTGCCTCCCAAAACAAACTGGGAGACACCCCAACCCCCGCAAACACCGCACCTAAAATCATCATCACCCCCTTAGTCATAAATTATGAACGGTCCAATATATTAAAAAAAATTAAGCATATGGACGTGTGCAGACACTCTTGTCATGATGGCATGGGAATTTTATTTGCAAATATTCTGTGTCCGTGAAATTGGATTGGCTGCAAATCAAAGTAACATTTCAAGTACATATACATGTATATATGCAGGACATACACATGCTGTTAAAAAAATCTTAAATATGTATCTACTTTCAAAATTACTGCATACTGACCAGTACTTCAGGGATACAGGACATATTACTGGACAATCTAATTTCACCAACTGAAATATATTTAGTGTTTAAATATCCATTTCAGATGCTGCTTATTGTGAGTCAGAGAGCATGTCACCAGCTCAGGAACCTCCCATAAGGAATCTACCACAGTCACCATCTCAGATACAGTAAGAATGTCAGATCGTATTAAGTTAATATTGCCAACTGACATGGTTTTGAAGAATTTAATACAACTGAACTTTGACCTATTATATGCTATGATATTTACATATAAAAATATTGATTGCCCATACTGTCTAACATATGAAATGATGTTAGCCTCTATTCCTTGATGTATATTTGTAATTCCAGAGATATATTTATTGTTTGTGTGGTCGAAGAGATAATACTGATGCTTTACAATGCTTATATTACAGTGAAGCAGAGAGTGATACAGCAGCCACTGACCCCCAGTCCTACATAGAACAACTCCATCAAACATTACATGAACAGGGGAGGCAACTCAAGGAAAAGGTTGACAAAATAGAAAAATTGAACAGAAAACTTGAACTTGGAAAGTTTGGAGTTTGTAAATTCATGTATGATGATAAAAATTGATTGAACATTTTACAGTATTCCATCATTTCAAACATTGGCACTGATTAGCTGGAACTTTTTCATTTGTTCAATATCTTCCCAGGTTTTGTGAAGTACCTTGCCCAAACAGCACAAAAATTGACAGACATGAATGTAAATGAAATTGTTTGGTGCGTTTGTGTTGTGTAAATGATGGATGAAAAAAGAGACAGCTGTAATACATACACATTGATGGATTTAACTGAATAATAGAAAGGTCTTTCATAATGGCATAGTTGTAGATGTAACTGATTTGCTGCTGTTTAATTAATAATTGATGAAAAAGAATGTATTTCATCCTGTTTGAAAAGTGTTAGTTGGGAATAAGAAAAAAACATCATTCATAGGTAAGAGATTATGATAATGTGTAAGGGGAGAAGACTATGATAAATTATGCATTGATCCAGCTGTAATTGTTGCCATTTATGTCAGACTAATCTAAAAGGATACTTCTATCAACATAAACATTGCACCCAATATATTTTCAATTTGCATCCTCTGACAATTTTATTGTTATTCATCAGTATTACAGTGGGAAGCTATTGTGAATGTATCTATTGTTATTGGACTTTTAAGACACCATTTCAAAATACATTTTTATTAACTGCACTCCAGGTGTTCGTTATTTATTTGGGTTAATTGTTTGCTGTAGTGTGAATCCTGTTATGTTAATCTTATAATATGTTCTCCTTAAAAATGTCTTCAGTTACAGTGGAACAGAATAAATACACCTGATCTACAATAAATCAATTTTATGGTATAGTAACACAGTATTGAAAATTGGTTCAAATATTCCCCATGCAGGTACCACTTGTCCATTTAGGTCAATTAATTATTCACCTCCAAATCAGTCAAGAAAAACTTGAAAAAATCATCCAGTTTTGTCTTGCATTGTGTCCCACCAGAGACCATATAATAGATATGGTCTCTGGTCCCACTCATGTTGAGTGAAATCAATAGTTTCTACATGATGATGTGGCGATTCGTTTTTCCTCTGCGATTGTAACATGCAGCTACGCGCACATCGCCATCACCACTAGTCCTGTACAACTGAAAATAAGTGCGTGAATAAATACCCTATATCTATAAAACAGAGTCGATAGGACAAAACATTTTAAACAGAAAAAATACCAAACAAATAATTTCATCACATGAATAATACAAACAAATTTGTTTGGTCCAGATCCACTCGAGGAGAGCTATCTTGATCTACTATAATCTCGATTATCGAGCTCAAGAATTAACAACACTACTCCCATGTGGAAGTGGATGATTTGAATCCAGGTCAGGAAATACGTTGAGTCTTTTGCTTTGTTCATATGTTGATAAAGTAAACGTAATTGACTTCCCTTGGTAATATTTCCACTATTGTGACTTTAGAGTAGCTTCCCTTCATAAATGCTGCGCAACATGGTAAACGTTACCTAGATATCTAGGTCATATGACTTATCGTGATGTGTCGTGATGTACAGTAATTATTCACCCTTCAATCCGTGGATATGCTACAGAAACATTTGTGTAGCACTTTCCCATTACTCTGCGATTTCCCTGAACTACTGGACAGTTTCGCAATGTACCGTTCAAGGGAAATTTGAAACCAGGAAGTATACATTGAGATTTGTCGCCATTATGCGATTGTGTCCTTGCCTCGTTTTGGTACAGATATGAATATTCATGAGGCCTCATTCAGAATGGTCTATAGAATCACAAAGCGAAAAGTTTTACAGAAAACTCCAAGTTGTGACACTAAGTTGTTGTAACGTTGCGAGGAGCCCAAAGCATAATGTTTCCTTAACGTAAATTTGCTACGTTGTTATTACATTGGGACATAACGTTATAAAATGACGTAAAATGAAGTTTTGAAAAACTACGAGAATGAATATATGCTCCAGAGCAGGTGTTTTGACGCTATTTGCTTATAAATACCCTGGTGATGACGAGACGACAGTTATTGACGAGGCAGAACTTTTGAACACGAAAGGTAACGTTTAGAGACTTCTCCGCATGGTAAAACAGGTCGTAGATTACAGAACAGAGTGCTAAACACCTTCACTGATGTTGTGTTAGAAACCGTCTTCTGACCAATATACCTGTCCATTTCCTTCAACCACCATCGTTAGGATTTAGCAGAATGGTATTTGAGAGTCTCCTTCCACAGACTTCGGAACTCACACAATCAATGTTCTTACTCTACCATTACAGGTACTTGGTCAGAACAGCTTGTCGAACATGAATAAATCCACCTTAGCACACACTCTATTACGTAGGGCCTCGACTGCCGCAATGCACACACCTTTCATTTGCCGCGAAATCAGGAATACACAGTACATACTCAGGAGCTCACTTGCAAAGGCCGGAATTCATGATGACTACGAATATAATAAATATTGGCCTTGCTGTCAATGATTAACCTAAAGGTTATAAATGTCGTTACATAATAGGCACATAATATGTACAATGTTGATGTACTAGCGCCGGCCAGTTATAAAATGACCTTTGTCATCCCACTCGGTGAGATACAAATGTTTTGGCTTTTTTTAAATTTGGGGTGTGAGTGTGTGTGTGTTCAAAAAAGAGAAAATACATATGATCTATTAGTGCTAATTAACTACTGGTTTCCCTTTTTGTCTCTTCACTGTTGTTTCACATGCACATATGTAGCTGTGTGTTTTCTAGTCTTTCATTCACCTGAAGAAGGAGAAAGAATTAATATACTCCGAAATGTCGTGTCCATCAAAATAAAGAAGGTGACATCCATAAATTCTTGCCTTTAAAGTACGGGTCGATAAACCGAATAAGTGAGTGATCCATCAACCATAGGGTAGTCTGAGATTTACAAAATATACAAACCGTTTAAAGACTTCTTTGAGTGGCATTTATAAGCTGATATGATGAAGAGGAAAATATTATGAGTTGTATACTTCTCAAGATAGTTGAATGAGAAAATAAATATCAATAGCGAGCTTATCGATCTTCATAATGAAATAAAAATGATATTTTGTGCATTTAACGTGGCGACAAGATAAATACGTTGTAAACTTCTCCCTCGGGTAATACGGTCTAATGTACGCCTTTTTGGGTAATACCGTCTGATTTTGTAGCAGTGTCAACCGAGCCGGTAAAAGAATGGAACATTAACACATATTGATTCCCACAGATAACTATAAATGGACAGATTATTATTGTGGACATAGATTGTGGAAAATTATTTTACTTGATTCATATTTGTTAATATATTTGTACCCAATATGTACACAAAAGTATTTGAATTGCAATGCCGAGAACATTGTTCGTGGATGGGTGTTTTAACTGGTTGACTTTCTAGGTGACCTTCAGAGCCTCATATTACTTTCAGCCCTTTGAATTTCAATTTCGAATTTGTTTCAGATGTTGAGTGTTCCACGTCCCAGATTTGTCTGTCTCTTAGTTGTACTTTTCGTCGCAACCTCATTTGTATCATGGAGACGTTTTGATAAGTAAGTATGACATGCCTCTGCTAGGTCCTCAGCCAACCCCAGAACAAGGTAACCAGTTATACATGCTGTGAGACTGCCAGCCAAATCCGAGCCAGGACACAGAGAGTCCAAATTGAGTCCATTCTCCTGGGTCAGCGTGAGCAACAACTGATCTCATGACTGACTTGTTGACGGACGAGCTGACGTTTGAAAGTTCAGACTCGGTTATCAGTGCGATGTGGTATTTCAGTGTCACGGATCGATATTTTTTTACGACAGTCAGTGGAATGTCTGACACAGACATATTTTTTTACGGACCATCACATTTAACACACGTTATATTTGGGACTACACTTTCTCCAGATTCCAGTACTATTGTTAGGAAACAAAAAGGCCGATTTTGCTGCTAAGCAGAACTCAACAAATTTGTGACACCACTTCTCATACTCCGAGTACAGAGCAGTCATTAGATCCTTCATCCGTGATATGATGCGAAAGAAGTGGGGCACTCAAGTAGGTATTTATAAATTACATGCAACTAAACCAACTAACGGTTACACCTGCTTGGGTTGTCAGTCCTGATTTGAAGAGGTCATCATGCGGCGATCTTTTTAATCATGTTGCTCCTCATTTAATCCTTTGATTTTACCAGAAATTGATTTAACTGATAAATTTTGATATTGTGTAGATAGTTGATTTTGAATATTAGTAGAGTTTAAGTTAGATGGTCAGAGGCAACTTAGACGATCAGAGGCTGTATCGTTGAAGGGGGTTAAATCATTGTCAAATTATTGTCCTCCTGAGAAGATACGTAAGTCCCAAAACTTTCAAAGTCAATTTCGACCTACAAAGTTATTTTAATCGCAGAATAATTGTTGTTTTAAATGATGGCTAAAATTCACTACAATCCCCAGTCCAGCTAGGGTCCATGCAGGTAGCCAAAGTATTGTAACCCCACATGGTCCCTAGTATGGCACCCGTGAATGTCCGGGTTAGAATGAACCTTCAGTAATCCATGCTTGTCGTAGGAGGCGACTAACGGGATCTGGTGGTCAGTCTCGCTGGCTTAGTTAACACATGTCATCGGTTCCCAATTGCGCAGACCGATGCTCATGCTTTTGATTACTGGATTGTCTGGTCCAGACTCGATTATTTACAGACCGCCACCCTATAGCTGGAATATGTATGTGTGCGGAGTAAAACTAAACTCACTCACTAGTTGTGATAAATAGTGTTGTCTTGCCACAGTTCTCCATATTCGCCATCGTTAGGGAATGAAACACGGACCCACGCGCATTGATTGCATGATTCTTGCAATATTTTACATATTTTTAAAGATTGATGTTGACCATTTTCGGAAATTTTGGATGGTACTGCAAAACTGCCATTGGGAAATTGACATCCTCACTGGTAAAATAGATGCTCTTTGAAAGCGAAATAGATTGCTGGACAATGGATTGGTTCTGTTCTTACGGACTTTCATACTGTTTAGTGTTTACCAGTGCTTTGCTGCATACAACACCGCACCAAATGATACGAAAAAAATTTCAGCTATACATGATATCTTGCAGGATTCAAATCTTACGACAGCCTTACCCTTCGAGAACTGGACATCAAAAGCAAAGTCATGGACTGGAAATGCATATCAGTGATGTCGAAATCGATGATACAAATAGGCATGCATCTCCAAGAACCTCAAAGATGTCAATTGTCAACCCTGAACTTGGGTACCGACTTAATGAAACAATCACAGTGAAGATTGTACTATTCGACCACAAGAACAGAACGAAAACCCGAGGTGGAGACATGCTCATTGTATGGATGCGAGACCAAGGAAAAGGAGCAGCCTCAGCCGGAACTGTTACTGACCATGGTAACGGGACATATACTGGTACCCTGCCCATCTTGTGGACCGGACAAGCTGTCATCCGTGCAGCAATGGTGGCTTCCAGCGAAAACTGGCTTTGCAAACAGGGGAATTTAGACACGGATACCGTGGAAAGATTCTAATATGCATATTTAATACAACTACATTAACAGAGACTACCCCGGGGCACATGGAAAGCAGATTACTGAACAAGGGCAAAGTTTGTAATTTAACAGATAAACATTATGGTGTTCCATTGTATTGTGACAGACCAAAGAAGAGAGGAATTCAGTGCGACCACTGGACAGGTGTCAATTCTCTGAAATATGTAGGATTAAATCAAAAGAATAACAGCAAATGGTATTTTTCGTAAGTATCACTCCTGAAATAATCAATTACTTGTTGTTGTTGTTTTTTCAATCAGACTTGATACCTATTTCCTATTTTCAGTATTTTATTATAGAAGAACAATGACAGATATTTGGTTTGTTATTTAAAACGAGCAATAACCAAAATAGATAGCGATGTGAATCCCAATGGAATCAAGACAAAGCAATTGTTGATGTCCAGCCTTTGATGTTACTCTTTCACAACATTTGAGATAAAACAATGTCTTTGTATCAATGTCATATGACTCTTGCTCAGAAGCTGTTCCGATACGATTACAAGATTTCAAAACGTTTTACGGTGGACGTATGGAGGTGCGAGTGAGTGTGTTTAGTATTACGCCGCACTCACCAATATTAAAAGCAATATGGCGGTGGTCTGTAAATAATCGAGTCTTGTCCAGACAATCCAGTGATCCACACCATGAGCATCAATCTACGCTAATGAGATACAATGACATGTATCAGCCAAGTCAGCGAACCTGACCACCCGATCCCCGTAAGTCGCCTTTAACGACAAGCATGGGTTGCTGAAGATTAATTCTAACCCGAATCTTCACGGGTCACATATGGAGGACATTTCCTAATTTGACGTTTAAATTACATATTGATGTCCGATGCAATTCCTTATTTCGACTTATACCATACGTCCCCATGTTGCTGTTTTTCACTTGAATAATTGACGATTTCTTGCATGTGTTTATGATGGATGATGCACCGATGCGTTCATTTTACTAGTCAACAGTGATTCTCAGACAGTCGTACAATCGAATCAACTCATAGAAATTTCTTGTTGATGGCTAAAGGATTGTAACGTTTTTCTTCAAATGCTGCGAATGAAGTGGAATACTGGAGTTACAGAGTTCCTGAGGACCGAGCCAGCATGCTGGGAACGACTCTAACATGATAACCCAAAGGTTTATCTGGTACCATGTACAAATGAGCCACAATGCTCATTATGATATTGAATGAAAAAGGTTGTTACAATGACATTAGACACATAGTACACTACAAGTGCCTAATTGTTAGACGCCAATATGTATTTTGCTTGAACCAAACCATAATTAATGATTTCAGATCGGCCGGCCCACAGATTCTTCCTGATGTTGTCCGAGTCAATATTTCAACTGGTATGTTCTCTGTATATTCAGTTGATAGGCTTAACTTATATCAAGTCTTCCTAAACAAGACAATTCATACTATATAAAAAGTTGCATCTCTTAAGTGTTGAGAGACTAGGCGAAACCCAAAGGCTGTTATTTCTTTGAATGCCAATACATACGTAACAATTCCTCTCACCTTGTGAAATATGTAACCCTAACACTTACCCTCTTCCTAAACCACTTCGCGTACGTGTCCGTTTACTGTCCCAAGAAGCAAATTGTTAGCAGCAAGGATGAAATCTGCAGAAACACATTTTAAGAACAAAATCATATGCATTGTTAGGGATATGGGTACTTACAGAAAAACATATTTGGTCTTAATTTACATTTCAATAGGAAATAATGAATCTTTCAAAAGTTATTAAATTAATGATGACACCTCCTGGACTCTAACGTCTTGATTCAAGAGTTAGATGTTTGCTTGCTGTTTTTAAGAATGACAGTCCTCTAGAGTCATGAATGTGCGTGACTATTATGCTTGTATTATGAATGACACCGTTGCACAAAACAGCCTTAGCGCTAGAATTACCTCATGTCCTTAGGTTTGGTTAAGAAAAGATCTGTCAGTTTCTGTCAGCACGGACTATTGAAAAGCACGGCCTTATTATTGTCAATCTGAACTTTAATGCCTGGCTAGAACTGACAACAGAAAGGCCCTCCTCACAGGGGGTTGAAGCATTATGAAGTTATTGTCCTCCTGTGGGGGTACGTAAATCCCAAAACATTAAAAGTTAATTTACACATACCATTACTTTTAACTGTATAATATATGTTATTTTAATTTATGGCTAAATTGTATAACCTTGCTGACAGCTGAAGGGATGATGTAAATCCAGCTAGGGTCCATACAGGAAGCAAGTGTACTGTAAGTTCCAATGGTCCCTAGTATTGTGATCTACCTTCAGTTGTTGGCAATCTATAGCCTGTTTTTTATATTGTATTATCATATATAGTTAAGATGTTTTGGAGTTCATTACTAGTTTTAAATTGGAATCTGTGATAATCTAGTTATTTTACTGTCCTTCACTGACAGGGTTTTACAATTTCTCGTTATTTATTATGAAATTATAACTTGTTTTTAGTCACGATATGGCTGAAATATTGCCGATGTGACTTAAAATCTTAACTCATTCACTAATTAAATGCCTATGGTCATCATATATTGACACTGATTTGACCATGAAGCCACTCAGCTTGACCACATGATCCACGTTCTTCTCTTTTGAGCTCTCGGTGTGTATGTCCCAAGCATTCTCGTCATACGAGACGACAGAACCGTATCGGATTGTCAGACTTTGTGAATTGCTTGACATCATCCACAACTGATTTCAGCCACTATTTGTATACTTGAAGAACAGTTTGGTGTGAGCACACGACGAAAACACAACTTACTATGTCCAGTTGTCTGTCCAATTACAACAGGCTTGTAAGTTACATAAAATTCATAATTTTAAACCAGGCATGTATAAATGTAACTACCTGATGTTTCAGCGCAAGACACATCGCTGTCGGCAAAGATTCCGTGCAGCAGGGCAAGTGTCCGGAATTCCTGGGTGTCAAAACCTGTAGGCTTCTTTTATAACTCCACCTGGCATCCCCTGGAGTGTTTTATCGACGTCAGTGTTAAGGACTACAACCGCTGCCTTACCAACAGAACTCTCAGAATGTTTGGTGATTCGACGGTCAGACAGTGGTTTTCATTCTTGTACAAGCATCTGAATCTTACTTGGAGAATAGGTCCAAAGCAAGCAATAGAGCAAACAAACGGCAAGTGGTATTCCTATTCCGAGGCATACAGCAAGAGGTTTAACTATACTGCCTTTTGGTCTCCGCACGGTCTGCCAATGACTTTTGACAATGCCAGTAGAACTGCCCTTAGACCATCATTTGTTCATCTGGATGAAATACCTTCTGGTTCAAGAGACATTGTGCTCATTCATCTATATGCCCATTTCCTATTCTACCCTGTACACATGTTCAGGGCTCAAATACAGCGCATCAAACAAGCCATACAACGATTATTGATGCGTTCGCCAGATATAAAAATTGCAATTAAAGGACCTCACTATTTTGTAGTGACTAAAATTGTATCTACGTTTGGTAGAATGTGGGGCCCTGTATATGACAGAATTATTAGACAAGAGTTTGTAAACCTGTATGACCGTGTAATTTACCTCGACTATTGGGAAATGCTTCTTTCTATTGAGAGTGCCAGTGTTCATCCAGATGAAAAACTGATAGATACGATGATTCGCAATTTTCTCGGATACGTATGTGAAAAGTGAAGATTTCATTTGCATCCTTAGACGTATCGTGGAAAACAAGGAATTATTTTGTTTTCTGAAACTTCATATTTTACATACAAACAACGGTTATTTGTTGTACTAATCCGCCCATGAATATGGTCATGTTGTTTGTGACTGTCTCGCGTTACCACGTATTACTTTCCACTCACGACCTACTGAATGTAATACTGTATTAGTGATTGATATAACAAGCTTGCCGCCTGCAGTAGATAAATATCGCCTAAGTAGTAACTGTGTTTCCAACGAATCGAAAATATTTTTACAGACAGGGCTGATATACTAACTGTATACTACATTTAGGATTTGCCCAACTCAACAAGAGACAAGTGTTTGATTGTGGATGTTTTTAGTATTTCTCAAACTGCACTAACAAGTGGATTGGGGCGTTTATGTCACGGTGACCTGCTTTAACTGGTGAACTGATTCATTCACGTGTGCGTACTGTCATTCTGCGTCTATGTCATTGTGTCCCAGTTGCGTGGATCGATGCTCATGATGTCGATCACTGGATTGTCTGGTCCAAACGTAATTATTTACTGACCGCCGCCATATAGCTGGAATATTGCTCAGTGCCATATAAATCTAAACTCACTCACCCAATCACTAATTCTGCTTCTTTTTTCGAGAAGTGTGCTACTCTGTCTAGCAACTGTCAGAAAAACTGTACCTTTTTTTTTAAACTACTCGTTTTAGTGCCGTGGCAAGGGGTGAATATAGATACTTAGCGGACTAATGCATGAAACTTTGCACAGTGCTGGGGAATATCATGATAAAACATATTTGTTTGGTGTGTCCGATTTTGGGGGCTCATTTTCCAAAAGGTCCAAGATGGCCGCCAAAAATCAAGGATTTCCAATTCTAACACTAAGTGAATTTACCCCGCTGGATTAAAGCAGAAAACCTTGCACATTGCTTGGGAACATCATGATGAACAAATTTGGTGGGTGTGTCCTATTTTTGGGCCTATGTTCCGAAAAGTCCAAGATGGCCGCAAACAATCAAAGAGTGCTGAGGTCCACCCAGAATAGTGACTGACTATAACAAATTTGTTGCAATATGTGAGATATATTCACCGTTCAAAGGGCTATTTCTAACAAACTATCCCAAAAAGGAAACGCATAGGTGTTTTGTATTTTTTTTAAATCGTTTAATTACTTATTGTATTCAAACAATCATCAAAATAAGTAACAAAAGTGTTGATAACATGATTTTACACTATTGCACAAGTAAAAAATCGACTTTACCTGAAAATATTTATTTTGATGAGATTTATTACAAGGAATAAAAAGGCATCGCCACAACGCAACAGAAATCATCTTCCAGTTGAAATTGTGCAGCAAAGAGCATGCACTGTCTGGCTATAAAAATCCAGATTACTTACGGAAATCGGCATTCGTTTTGAAGGAGTTTAAAGGTCTAATCACTACGCCACGTCTTGACGCTGCGACACGGAACATCGCCATTGAAAGAATGCAAGCTGGAGATTACCAGTCTTCTGGTGCCATGGAACTGAATGTTAGTCTGAGCACGATATCACGGCTTGCAGCTCGTTACAACCAAAAAGGTATAACAAATGACCGTCCCCGTACAGGCAGACCTCGAGTCATCACAGCAGCCCAAGATCGGTACATCCGGGTACTAAATTTGCGTGATCGTACCGCCACGGGTGGGAGCACAGCAGCCGTGCTACGTCGTCACCATTGCGCTCAACGTCTCCGTTATCAAAAATTATCCACTTGGTTGTATAGACATTTTCCTTCCTCTAAACTGATCTAATATTTCATGTACTAAAGTCTATTTGTGGACGAGTTATACATGTCTGAAAATACAACATTTTCACAACAGATATCTCGGTTATGCGTACCCCTTTTTTAATAGTATACTTTCAAGAAATATAACAAACAAGATTTATGTTTAGTGGTAACAGATATTATTAATCATCTAATTAATGAAAAGTTATTGTTTTGATCAGTCACGTGAAATCATTTTGTCAAACATCGGTCTCAGCGGATTCAGAAGTCTTTTAACAGTTCCCATTGCAGTTACAGAGCGATGTGCATCGAAGTTGAGAAGATTTACAAATGCACTTCGTTGAACATAGAGGTTTGACTTTTCGGAAAATAGGCCCGGAAATCTGGGACAGCCAAAAAAGACATGTCTTGTCATGATGTTCCCTAGCACTGTGCAAGGTGTTCTCTGCTTTAATCCAGCGGGGAAAAGTCACATAGTGTAAGAAGTAGACTTTCGGCGGCCATCTTGGACTTTTCGGAAAATTGGCCCCACAAAATCGGACACACCTCGAAAATATGTAGTATCATGATATTCCCCAGCACTTTGCAAAAGTTTCATGCTTTTTCGGGGGTGTAACGATTTACTTCAAAAAATAGAACCTAAAGCTACTGTCACCACTGATCACCGCTGATTATCTACAGCAAAGAAGTGATACACAATTAACAGTTGTATTCTAAACTAATTAAGTTTCAAAATCAATACATGTTTCCGTACAACGACAGTATGAATTCAATGACAGTACAATGGACAGGAAACCTGGGTACACCCTTTGGCAAGGACATACCCTGATATCTTATTTACATTCATTATAACCTTTGAAACAGATCAGCGTGTATACATGACATGTAAATCAAGTTCTACTAAATACTAAGTATAATATGGTTAAAAGTTATCTCCATACCTTGAAAGTTATCTATTACACTTTCCATTAAACGTACGCATTTGGCTTACCTATATTATTGGGTCTTGTAACCATAAACCCCAATAGAAACAGGTAGATGGTATAATATTAGTAAAGAAGATAGATTATGTACATTATGTAAGACTACAATAGAGATGAATTTCACTTCATGTTATATTGTCCACATTTAAGAAAAGTAAGAAATTCATGTCTAACAAACTATTATTGTAATTATCCATCATTAGATGAATTTATATCCCTAATGTCTTGTACGCATAAAGCACTACATTGTTGACAATAAGCAATTATGTGAAATCCGGTCTACGTAAGCTCCCATAAACAAATCTGTAAGTTTGTATTTTTTCTCTATGTCACTATTGTGATCTCTCATGAGAATAAACCGACCGCCTCTGTGGTGTAGTGGTTAGAGCGTCCGCCCGGAGAGCGGAAGGTCGCGAGTTCGATCCCCGACCGCGTCATACCAAAAGACGTTAAAATATGGTAGTTGTTGGTCCCTGCCTGGCGCTCGGCATTAATGT